GGTGAGCACTGCAGGCTGAGGGAGCAACTGGAGCAAAGGTCCCAAGACAAGATTAGAGCATCTCATCACACGGGGCCTCACAGGCCAGGGGAAGAGTGTAGATTTTATTCTTATTGGGGTTGAAGCCCTGGAGTCGTTTCAGCAAGGGATCATGTGAAATATATCTATGCCTCCTGTGCCTAAAGCACAAAGGATGAACTTTAGGGGGACAGTTTAGACACAGCACAGTTAAGAGGGCAGTGCAGCAGGCCCAGTGCAGCAGGCCAGGCTAGAGCAAACAGTGGTTTGAACTAGACTGATGCTGACAGGCGTTTGGATTACATCATGGCAACTGAGCTGAAAGAACCTGCTGATGGGCTGATGGATTGCACGTGTTGGGCAGAAGGAACGGGAAAGAAAGGAACAGTGGAAGGCCATCTGACTTTTGGCACGAGCACTGGCTGGGTAGTGTCATTATTTACTAAGGAAGGAAAACAGAAGGCTGAGCAGGTTTGGGCAGAGAACTGAGCATTAAGCTTTGGCCATGCTGAAGTCGACATGCCTATGAAACATGCAAGTGGCGATGACAAATAAGTACGAATACATGAGTTTAGGGTTGAGTGGAGAAATCGTGGTTGGAGATACAGATGTGGGAATCATCAGCACATAGATACTATTTAAATCCACAGGGCCTGGATTAGGACACTGGTGGGGTTATTATGCAGACAGAGAGTAGCAGGGGGCCTAGAACCAGCCCCAGAACATGCCAACATTGAGAGATGAAACAGAGGAGAACCTGGCCAAGGAGTACCTAGTAGAGGAGGAAAAAACCCAGGAGTGTGTATTAGTCAGGGTTCTCCAGAGAAATGGAACCAATAGGAGATTTTATACTTATATATTTTTATATATGTATTTAAAATATATTTTAATAATGTATATAAAATATGTATTTTAATATACATATACCTAATACATATCTATATATTAATACATAATATTGACAATTTATATCAATATTAATCTAATATATATATCTTTATACACACACAGAGATTTTATTATAAGGAACTGGCACACATGATTAAAGAGACTGGCAAGCCCCAAGATCTGCATGGTGAGTTGGCAAACTGGAGACCCAAGAGAGCAGAAGGAGTAGTTCCCATCTGAAGACCAGCAGACTCAAGACCAAGGAAGAGCTGGTGTTTAAGTTCAAGTCTTAAGGTGGGGAAAGAAGTGGATGTCCCAGTTTGAAGGCAGTTGGGCAGGAGGCATTCTCTTATTCGTGGGAGAGTCAGTCTTTTTGTTCTATTTAGGCCTTCGACTGATTGTGAGGCCCACCCACATTAGGGAGCAAAATCTGCTTTAGTCAGTCTATTGGTTTAAGTGTTAATCTTATTACCCAAAACAGAAACATCCAGAATAATGTTTGACCAAATGTCTGGGCAACCCAAGGCCCAGTCAAGTTGACACACAAAATTAACCATCACAGCCTGATTGAAGAAGGTCTTTGGAAAGAGGGAGTGGCCAACTATTAAGCATGGCACTGAGAAATCTGTCAAGAACCTGGAAGGACCATTAATTTGGCAGGATGGAGGTCATCAGTGTCCTTGAGGAGAACAGTCTCACTGGTGAACAGAAGCTTCAATGGAGAGGGGTGAAGGAAGAATGTGAGGTGTAGACATTGATAGATTCAAGGTCACTTCATTGAAACTGAGGGATGGCAGAGTGTAGGTACCAACAGGGGTAGATTGGTGAGAAGATAACAGACTGCCTGTCTAATCGCTTCTACTTCTCAATGTAGTATGAGGCGAGGTCATCAGATGAGATTGGATGTGTGTGAGGGGGGAGTATAAGACTATTCTGAGGAAAAAGGAGAAGTATGACAGTCATTTAGGAGAGTAGAAACTATAGAATTATCAGGCAATGTATGGTGCCAATCTTGGATTTGTGACCGTAAACCCAATGTGAGACCTGGCAGCACATTTAGGTATTACATTTCAGCAATGCTCCAGTGCAGGTGCAAGCCGGGAGTAGGTGGGCAGCGGGAGTTCAACTAGAGTGGGCACCTGGCCATGTGAGTAAAGCCGAGGGGAAAAAAGGTAAGAGATAAAAGAATGTTAGCAATATTGAATTTTATTATAAGCTAAGATTCTTTGAATATCTTTGTAGAAATTCTTTATTAGAAAGACAGAAGGTATGAAAAAGGTAATTTCCTTAAGATACACTCCCAGTGAAATTACTCAGCCAAAGAGAATGAAGTTTTAAATGTCCCATTATACATGGCCCAATTGCTTCAGTCTTTCTGAAGGACAGTTTAATGTGACCACAATACAGAAGAAACCCATTTTTTTCTTTTTTCTTTTTTTTTAAAGACTGGCACCTGAGCTAACAACTGTGATCAATCTTTTTTTTTTTCCTACTTTTTCTCCCCAAATCCCCCCAGTATATAGTTGTATATTTTAGTTGTGAGTGCCTCTGGTTCTGCTATGTGGGACGTCACCTCAGCATGGCCTGAAGAGCGGTGCCAGGTCCACGCCCAGGATCCAAACCAGTGAAACCCTGGGCCACCGAAGTGCAGCACGGGAACTTAACCACTCGGCCACGGGGCCGGCCCCAGAAGAAACCCATTTTTAAAAAACTAGGTTTGATCATACACATATATGTATGTTGCTCTGAGGCTTTAACATGTTTTAAAACCTTTTTATTCTGAATTATAGATTCACAGGAAGTTGCAAAGATAATACAGAGAGATTCCACGTACTCCTCACCTGGAGTCCCCAGTGGAGGTAACTATGGAACAATACTAAAAGCAGAAAGTTGACATTGCTATGTGTGTGCCAGTGTTCCATAGATTCTATGTGTCATCATGTGCAGATTCATGTAACCACCATCACAATCAATATAAAGAATTATTGGGGCCAGCCCTGGGGCCGAGTTAGCACATAGCACAACCAGAAGGGCCTACTAGAATATACAACTATGTACTGGGGACCTTTGGGAAGAAGAAGAAGAAAAAGATTGGCAGCAGTTGTTAGCTCAGGTGCCAATCTTCAAAAAAAAGAATTTTTATGTCACCACAAAGATCTCCCTCAGAAATGAATGATTAAATCCTAAGGTATGGAGTTTAGAAAATTGAGAAAATCATCCACAATTTCCCGTAACAATTTTTATTATACACATTTCCCCCAGTTGTAATTTACTATACATCACGATTTTCTATTGAATGGGCATTTTCTTTTCTTACCCTTTGGTTTTGCAGATCTCTAGATTTGAAAGTCACATGCTGCAGAACTGTTGTAAGGTAATCATGCAATTGCTCCTCCTGAAATATTCCTTTGCAGTAGTACTGACTGCTGGTTGATAGCTACACTTACATACTCTATTTTCTTTAAAGTCACAGTGTAACGATCAGAAGAATAAAAACTATCTGTTCTCCAGTAGTCCATCTATGTAACGTGAAAGTTGAGTGAGGAACTTATCCCATTTCCTTTCAGTGATTTTGATACCAGCTCAATACAAGGTTGACATAAGGGAAGCCATATTGTAGAAAAGAAACCATATTGCAACTTTAAATGACCTCTAACTAGCCCAAACAGCTCTGTAGATTTTGTGGCTCCTCCCAGCTGCTTTAAGATGATAACTTTGTTCTTTTGAGTTCCTTGGGAATGTGATGACACCCCGGGCACAGAGCCTATACTGATAGCCATCATCAATGACAACTGAAAGATTAGGGTATGTGGTTGCTCCCATTCTGATGCATATCCAGTAAAACAAAGGACTATCAGGAACTGGGACCGGATGTCGGCCCCACCCAGAGACCAGCCGGATATATAACTGGCCTGCAGGCTGTCTGGGAGATGGTTCTTTTGAACATGAGTCAGCCATCTTCCCTCTTGCTAGCAAGCTGTAATAAAGTCCCTTCTCTCCTACCACCTTGCCTCCTGACCATTGGCATATCTTGCAGTGAGCAGACGAGCCCCCTTTCGGTAACAATTTAAGTGGTTTTCTTGCTCACTTCCATTTTGTACCAGATTATCTAGATTCCAATGATGGATAAACTCTTAAATAGGTTTATATATACATAGATATATATAAAATATATTTCATTGTTTCAGAAAAACATAAAAATTTTAAATATCAATTCTTGCAGGATATTTTCCTGACAAGGTATAAATTGTCTTTTTATAAAAGTAAAACTAGGAGCAGATCTAACTTTTGAATACATTGTTTTGCTTTGATACTGTAAAGCTAAAGACAAAAATGCAAACACCGTATTCTAGTTGGTTAATTTGTTTCTCATAGGAGTACAGGTTAGCAATTCTGTAACAACTTTATGTGACTAGTTTACACATAGAGTTTAGCAAATAAGTAATTTCTAGATAACAGGAGACAGGTTTCTCATTGTCAGAGAAAGAAGTTACAAACAAGCAAGGGCGGAGGTGAGGTTAGAGTGAACCCTGTGGTGCCAAGCGGGAGATGTGAGTATGAACTCATTTATTGTAATATGTCTAGATATACACGGATTAATATACAGATATATTTCCTAGCTTTGTCCACCAAGGGAGCCTAGCAGTGATAGTAGCAGTAGCAATGAGGACATCTGATGCCCAGATCTTGGTTTCCAAATAATATTATCAGTACAAGGAACCATGGTTCCTTGGAAAAATGACTGGTTCTAGGGCTAGACAGGAAAAATACAAGATGAGGCTGGAGCATCTTGAAGTACCAGAAAGGAAGGAATTGTTAAAAACAAAACAAAGGATGGGAGTAAGTCAAAAGGACGCAGGAGCCAACTTCAAAGAGCTCTCAGAGGCCAAAGCTGGGAGAATTTGAGGAACAGTATAAATGACGGTATTAGATAACCACCAAAGATCAATGAATAAACACCCATGAGTTCATACTGATAGAAATGACTGAAATAACAAATCTTCCTTACAGTAGAATTCCAATTAATAAACGTAGAAGCAGGAAATCACCATGAAAACATGACAATAATAATTACAACAGGCAAGATCCACTGGTGAATACTAAAATTTTGTGAGTTAAACTTTAATACAAGATATTTTGCATAACAATACTTCAGTTTTGATGTTTTTCATTCATTAAACCAAAACTTCTAAAATGGCATCAATTTGCAAACAAAAACACTTAAAAACAATGTCTTTTGGAGAGGTATTTTAATTCTATTTGTAGGTTCAGGTGTTCAACTCATTCATCACTATAACAAACATCATTCAAAGCCTCACTCTTAATTCTAACAGAATTGATTACAATGGCCCTTCTCTTGTGGCATCTTTCATTGAGTCTTGGTAAATGTTGATAAATAATTCAATGAATTGCTAAAACGTCTGATAAGCCTTCTGAGCTGGCTAATAAACTCTTTTGGCAACCAATGTATCTTGTGCTCCATTCGTTGCACAATGATGAAAAGAGGATTTTTTTCCTTCTAAATAATTTAATTTTCAAATAATAAATGCCTGTGTGTCCATCATTAGTAATTTTGCTATTTTCTATGACTTTTCATCCTACCAACCTTACATATGGAAGCAGGAAAGCTTCATATCCTTTAACCCAATATTGTGTGGCTTAACACATCTTGAAATCACTCGTGCCAGTTGACGAAATAAGACTCTACCTTCCAATAGACGTTTTCTAACATTCCAATGACTGTACTCTCATTTCACAACTGTTCCTCTTAAATTTGTTAGCACTTCACATGGTGAAATAAGGGCTAAATAAGTACATTTGCGTATATGTATGAGGTTTATAAAGTACTTGAACACTTGAAAAGGGAAACAAAGTAAGCCATGATAAGAACTCCAAAGTGGTATAATCAACTTTACTCAAGTGTTTTTTAAAATTTACACCTAACAGCCAATGCCAAGGTTCAAAATAGCCAGATACTCTTCTTGGCTATAAGTGAACTCATTCTTACACTAAGTTAAGCAACACCCAAGGTCAGCTGTGAGGGCTTTTCGTGCATTAATTAATCCTCACTGCACCCTCTTCATTGTGATTCAATACGCCTGTCCTTGTGGCACTTACATTCTAGCAGGGAACAGACAATAGGTACATAAGTGAACAAATAATCTAGTTTGTCTCAAACCCCTTTAATAGTGACCTTTGAACATGGAATCCACGGGCCAGCAGCTATCAACATTCTCCTGAAATTCATTCATTCATAAACTCTTAATCATTATTACAGTCAAAAAGGCCACTGAGTAAGCAGTCCTGGCCCTACCCACCCTTTACTGTCTATCTCCATTTTACAAAAGAAAATGGAGATTGTGTCAAGAATCTAGATCCCTTTCCCCAAGTGCTTATAACACTTCTGCCACTCTAATACAGTACCATGCGTGCCTCCTCTACCTCATGACCCACACACCACAAACACATAGCACTGAAAGATGCATGCTTATCTTTTAATGGCTTCTTTGGTTTCAAAGCAAGAGTTTAGCTACACTTTGCTTAACAGGCACAGGAAAGGAACAGATGTAGGACTTATTACACGCTGTACCACTGGAATAGTTTTTTCTTATCTTTGACAACATTATGAACAATAAACCCACCTCTAAAGACGTACCCAGAATACTGTGTGTGTGTGTAACCTGAAATAATTATTTCCTCCATGTGAATAAGTTGTCCATTTGCTATAATGTTCACCAGTTTGATTATATTCAACTTTTAAAAGGGGGGGGGGGGAGTCTCATTGCCCACCTTCCTTATATGTAATCACTTTCATTAGCTTCTGGCTTATCCTTCCTGAATTGCCTATTTGCAAAATTGATTAAATATGTGTATGATACATACATATTTTCTTATTTTCTCTGCTTTATGAAAGGTAGCACACTAGACACCCTTGTCTGCATCTTGCTCTTGTTTTCGGGAATGGTAAAATCTTTAACAAGGTACCTACCCTTTGAGTCTATGCATCTGTAAAATGGGGAGAACACTGTGTGAGGATTAAACAGAAAAACATAAGGAACTCACCACAGGACCAGGCAGTGACATGTCCAGTACAATAAATGCTACCTCTCCGCTGTTGCTACACTGTTCCTGCTGCCGCCCATGGTGGTTAAGAAGGCTATAACTCACTACAAAGCCCCTTTAGACTACAGATTACACGCCCAGAGGAAATCAGGAGAGCACAGCCCATCATCCCAGCTTAGATGGCTTATAGCTCTCTCCCTAAGGCAAATAAAGTTTTCAGTCACTTATTAAACACACAGGGTGACTACCCAAAGTTTATTGTTTGAGACAAACTTAAAAGGATTCCCAGAAAGCCCATGTACATGTACAGTAGATTCTTCCACCTTCAAACAAAGTCAAGGTTTCCAAATTTCGTTATGTGTTTGAACACTCTAGTGTATCCGGAGAAGTCTAGAAAGTGTCATTGGGAGGAAAACTTTGCCTCTACCAACTTAGGTTCAAGTGGTTGAGGGCCTGTGTGCTAACAGACATATTAATAGGAGAAAAGTTTATTATATATGTATGCAGGAGCACGCTGTAAGGAGTAGCTCTCTGAAGTGCAGAGATAAGATTTTATACATCAGCTTAATGGGATGGGTGAGGAGGGTGTTAAGGCTGCAGTGGGAAAGTATGGAAGGTTCTGATAGGATGTATTTACACAATTCCCTGGGAGGTCCTGATGCAAAGTCAGGCTCCACCCTTACAGAGGCCCCCTTGGAGAGGGTTATGGCAGCTGAATTCTCAGAAAGGCCTGCTTTACTCATCAAAGGGAATGCAGGAAGGCTTTTTTTCTGCAGCTGCTGTTTGTTCACCTGTTGTCAGTTTAAAATAGTCTTTATGCCATCCTGGGTGTTAGTCTCTTCATTTCCCTGTTTGAAATGAAGTTTCACAGGTAAAAAACTGGGTCGATTGCTGTGGAGAGAAGATTTGGGTTAGAAGTCGGGAGGTAAGAGATCTGCAAAAGGAAACAACGACACAGATTCGAACAAGGATGAGAAAGCAGAAAAGAACAAATCCAAACACACAGCCCCCTATCCCAATGAACGAGTCTCCCACTCCCGAGAACGGACCAGTCCAATTAAACGACTGTGCTTCGTTCATTTGACACAGAATGTTGACCTGTTCTTTTACATGGTTCACAAGAGACATTACATCTCCTGTCTTATTTACACAGAAGCGGCATTGTTTGCCAATGAGTGCACACGGTATTCCTTGTTGGGCAGCCGGGGTGCGCAGGAGATGAGGGTTTTGGAGTACAGTGGCTCATCTGGTAAATCCTGATTGGCGTGCTTCCAAGGTCTGCCCAGCGGCAGCGAATCCTTGCTCCATTACCTAATCTAGAGATGTTTGAAATTGCTTCTTCTAGATCTGAAGTTCCTAAACTTGGAAAAAGGGTCCTTATTGAATTGGTCTTGAGACGCATGAGTGGATGGTCTCTGATGTCTCATTGGGTGCGTCTAATTGGTGCTTGAAGAAGCCCAGGTCTGGAATCTGGCTAGCATTTCAAGGGGTGAGGGAAGGTGCCAGGTATCCAGGTCCACAACATCTGACCCTTTAGGTGGGAACCCTTTATATACTTTATTGCCACACAAAGAGACCAGCATTGTTCACAGACAAGGTCAGAGTGGAAGAAGTGATCCACCAGGTTGGGGTCCGGTGTCCACTGTGACCTTTGTCATTCGTCGTAGTGGCATCTGCACATCTTCATTCCCCACGAGCCTCTGTCAGGTTGTGAAATACCTTTGATTTGACTTTGGCAGTTATAGAGGCAGGTGTCATTACCTGACCAAGTCACTCCAGAATTTTGGTCCACCTACTTGTAGTCCTGGGTATTGGGCAGACCAACCAGGGGAACAGCTGAGCTGTTCCAGCTCCCATTTATGCTGCCTGTGAGCCAGGAATACTGTCCAGTGACTAGGCAACATTTGTATCATAATAATCCATATAAATGGACTCATTTATAACATCTACAGAGGGTTTGAAGGTGCTATTTGTGGAATCAAACCATAGTGTTGATGACAGTATTGTTCTGGTATGTTACCTAGGAAAGGTCCAGTGCCATTTTTATTTTCAACGCAAAGAGAAAAATTTCTCTCCAATAGCCTCACCTGAGTAAAGGATAGACCTTGAGCTTCCACAGGGGTTTCCCAATGCAAATCACTCTAGCATAGGAGGAATGAGAGTGATTTTGTCCTCCTGCTTGTGGATACCATTCCCTTTCACACATCCATTGTCCAGAATGGGTTCACCAGGTACTTGCAATGTCAGGAACAAAAACTAGTTCAGGTCTTTGTGTGTTATCTAGATCTTGACATAACCAGCAATCAGATTGATTAGCTAAGGTGGCCAGGGTTTGAAAGACCAGTGTGAGTGGGTGTGGGGGTTCTGCTAGAATTGTTGAAAAAACAGCAAGGGTTAGTTGAAGCAAGACACAGTCAGAAAGGGAGCCCACAGTGGAGGAACACGGGGAGAATAGGTTAATACAAACAATCTCTAGCCAATCTTTCTGTAAATAAAAGAGGAAGAGTTTTGTTTAAATTTCTAGGTCAGAGAATTTTCCAGGCCAGGGAGAGTAGAGGTACCAAGGGAAGATAAATGGAGACAAAATTCTTGATCCAAGATCTTGGGTAAAGCTGTCTACTTCATGGTGTTGTCTGGTTCTGGAGTTTGAGTGGTTCTGGTAAGCCTCAGTTTGAGGTCACTCATAGGGATGGCCTTCTAATTGCCACGGAGTGACAATCTGGATGTAGCTTGGTGTGTTTCGCATGAATCCAAGAGGACTTTTGATGACAGTATAGATGATTAGCTGTACTTTCTAAGACCTCTCCCAGGGAGGTGACAATGCATGTTTCCTTCTAAAAACTTTGATCTACCATCTCCTGGTGGAAAGGGATGGCAAGGTTCGTCAGTCAGTGAAGACCATGCTTTCTTCACCTGTTGACGATATGCTCCAAGTATAATAGTTCTTTTCTATAACTAGTCATAGTATTGAATTGTTCACTCAAGTGCCCATAATGCTCATCCAGTCCAGGAATGGAAGGTTTACAGATGCCAGCAGACACAGGGTGACCAAAAACTATTTCAAAAGGGGTCAATTTGGAGTATTCTGTATCTATAGAAGGACCAAGGATAATGCTTCTGACAATTTAAGTCTAGTTTCCCAAAAGATTTTTCCTAGGGTTCTTTTTATTTCTAGATTTTTACATTTCACTTGCCCTGAGGATTCGGGATGGTAGAGGGTGTAAAATTTTAATGAATCTCCCAGAATCTTTGCAAGTGACTTATTTCTGCTATAAAGTGAGCTCTCTGGTCCAACTAAATTCATAAAGGGATGCCAAAAGAAGGAATAATCTAAGTTATTAGTTTATTTACAACTGCTGTGGCATCAGCATGTCTAGTTGGATAGCACAGTCCATCCACTAAATATGCAGACAATAACCCAACAGTGAGAATCATCCAAGACTGGAGGTAAACCTATGAAGTCCATGGGGAGTGCCATAAATGGCAGTGTGGGTCTTGAAGCACTCCTTGAGGTACACTGGTTACCTCCAGAAACTCAGCGAGATTGACAGGTAGTGCACTGGAAAACAATTTGGTCAGAAATGCTGTGGATGCCAGGCGAGAACCAAATGTCTTTTCCCTGCTTGATCATCCCGCTTGCACATGTTCCATTTGATGGGAGACTAGTACCAGCCAAAAGGTCAAAGGAAAAGGGGCTAAAGGAAGTCCATTTGGTCCAATGTATAATCCATCTGATAAATGCTTGGCACCCTTTTGTAGCTATTTCTTTTTCAGGTTGTGGGGCACTTGCCTGACGGCTAGTAATACACAGTTAGGGATAAGGGGAGGCATGCAAGCTGGGTGGGGAAAGGATGGGATGGGGACCCACTCTCAGCTGCCCTTTAGCAGCTTTGTTAGCCTTATCATTTCCTATAGATATTGTGCCATGTTTCCTTGGTATGTGCTGGGCAGTGAACTCTAGCAAGTTCAGTACGAAGACAACCATCCTGTAACAGGGAAGCAATGATATGCCCATTGGTGACAGAAGCACCTGCAGAGGTCAAGAATCTGTGGAACTTCCAAAGAGTGCCAACAGCATGAGAGCCAAAGGCAGATCTAGTCAGTGCAAACATTGGTAGTTTTCTCTTTTGTCAATGTATAAGCTTTAGTAAGAGCGATGAGTTTGGCAACTTGGGCTGATTTTATAGCAGGCAAAAGTGTGCTGCGTTTCATGTGGAGAAACTACAGCCAAGTCAGTTTCCCTGACTGGCTCATTAACAAGAGCCATCACAGACTAGAGCAAGTCTGAATGGCTAAAGGAAGCGTCTAAGAGGTCTTTTTGTGGTTTAGAAAGCATCTCTATGGCTGTAAGGCAACTACATAGAATAGAGTAGGGTTGTTTATCATCAGAATGGGTAATAGCGTAGCTGGGTTTAGAGTTTTAGGAGTACAAGATGACAGAGGGGTTGGTTGACAGGGCCTGTTCATAGGTGGGTGTCGTTCAGTAGAGAGGTGCTATTGTATAGACTTGTAAGAGAGCTGACACAGCATGCAGAATATAAAGGTGAAAGGGGAAACTTGTGTAAGGGCACTGGCTTTGTTAATCAAGGTGGCAGCTGAGGCCACAGCACATAGGCATTGAGGCAGGCTTGAAGTCACAGGGTCCAACTGATGAGAAATATTCTACGGGATGCTTCTGAAAGGAAAAGACTTGCCCTAGAATACCTGCAGCTATCCCAGTATTTTCACGGCAATATAGGTTACAAGGTTTGTCAAAACTGGGTAATCTGAGAGCTGGGGGGAGCACGGGTGGACAACGCTAGTTTCAATGCTTCAGAGGAGGCCCATGCCTCAGCAGAGGGTTCTGTGGTTGTATTTGGGAGGGCACATAAAAGTTTGGCAAGGGCAGCAAAATGGGAATCCATTGGTGGCAGTAGCCAGCTACTCATAAAGATCTGTATAATCATTCATCTTTGGGAGAGGGAGGGACAAAATTGATTCAAGGCATTCTGGGGGAGGTTTTGAGTACCTGGAAATAGTTCATGGTCTGAGTAGGAAACTGCTATTTCTGCCCAGTGAAGTTGGCCTCCGGAAGCTTCACGACCTTCGTCAGCCAGTGCCTTCAGACGTTCTCCACTTATAGTCTTTAAGTCATTCTAGTGGGTTGGTCCTGCCCTCAGTGACAAATACCAACACCTTACCTCAATGTACCACCAATGCTAAGGTTAAGTTTGAATTCATCACTTGTGCTGAGCTGTGTAAAAAATATCACAAAGGTGCTTAAACTGGAAGGAATTTTCTTGTGGTTCAGCTATGACTCCAGATAGGATCCAAAGAGGAGTCCGACAATCTCCTCTCCGGGTTTTACGGAGACTTACTTTGCCCTTCTGTGTTAGCCTCTTAAGGCACTGCGTCAACCTTAAAAGGGCACAGGAAAGGGCCATGTGGGTTTTTACAGGGTTCCCCACGGTTTCCTGCGCTCCTGCTTCGTCAGTATCCCATGGATCTCAGCAGTTTCTTTAACAATTCTGACAACCCACTAGAAGCAGCTGTTGTGCTGGTGGAGCCCGTGAACGTAAATTTTCTCCACGTTAAGGCAGAGCCGGATTCAGGCCCCTGCCGCAATCACGCGCCCGGGAACCCTCCGGTCGCCACTGGCCACGCGCTCAGGGCCTGGGCCGTGTCATTTCGCTCAAAGACCGGGACCTACCTGCGCTCAGAACTGAGGCCGCTGCACCCAGCAGACGCTGCACACAAACTCCGCAGGCCCGAGGTCGGTCCAGGATGGCTCTCGCCGCCGCAGGCGCGGCCGGGCCCCGAACCCGCTACCAAGTAGCCGCGGCTGCGCCCTGGGGAAGCAAAGCGCAAAGCTGTTACCGCGCCCGGGGCTGCCCACCGGGAAGCCTCCTCCGGACGGCGCCCCGCGGCGTCTGTGCCTCGCGCGGCCTCGGGACGGGCACGGCCGCCCGCCCCCCGGACCGCCGAGGGCTGCTCTACCCCTCCGTCCTGGCCGCCGGGAGCAGCGGAGCTCCGGACGGGCAAAGCTCGAGGGGACGCGGGGCGAGCTCAGCCCCACCCGGACCGGCCGGGCGCCCCCCTGGCGTGAGGAGCCGGAGCTCGGAGCCACACTCACCGCCCACCTCCGCGGGAGAGAAGGGTCCACACCCCATGGAAACATAGCAGGAGAGGCTGGGCAGGAGGCGGGCCGCGGGGCGGGCTGCCAGTCCCCGGGAAGGCGGGGGCGGGGCGGGAGGAGGGACGCGCGGCGGGATATCAATGTCCTGGGGCTGAGGGGCGGGGCGGGAGGAGGGCCGCGGGGAGAGCTGTCAATCCCAGGGGGGCGGGGACAGAGGAGGGCTGCTGGGTAGGCAACCAATCACCGGGAAGACTGGGGCGGGGACGGGGCGGAGAGGGGCGGGCCCGGCCATAGGCGCCCAAGGGCTTACAGCTCGGGTTTTTCTGGTTAATTGCTGCAGCAAGAGGACTAGCCGGCCGTGTGCAGAGCATCCTTTTTTGACCCTCAGAGAGCCCGGGCGGGAAAAGAGCGTCCCTCAAGAGGGCCTTGGCCCTCGTGGATCTGGTTCTCTCAGGCCAGCGTTCCTTCGACGGGGACTCTCCTGGCGAGTTCCTAGCCGTTACCCTTTCCTCAGCTCAGCTCCTGGACCATGGCTCTGGGTCACACAGCCTCCTGGGCTGCTCTTTCGTATGCCACATTTTTATTCACTTTTGAGAGCCTATGCGCCATGCACCCTTCTAATCCCTGAATGGACGAAACAAAGCCCTTAGACTGACATTCTAATGGAGAACAGAAATCAAGATGTAAGTATAAAATATGTCTTAGGGTGATAAATGCTAAGGAGAAAAACAGAAGTATTTATTACAACTTGAAAAACTGAAGGTAGCAAATAGTCATTCCTGTGAAGAAATGCCCCTTCTAACGCTAAGAAACAAAGAAACAACTCATCATGACTTGGGTTACTGTGCTGCTTTGGAAAATATATTTCACTGCAGAAATGACTAAATATGATAAAAGGCTCTTTACCAGGAGTGATGGCTGGTTGGCTCTCTGCACACCAGAGTAGTGTCCTATTTTGGTCTGTATTTGATAATGCACAGGAGACCAAGATGGACAAGGGCCATCACTCTGGGGTACAGGACACATGTCCTGGTGGCAGTCACATGTGAGAGGATACACATCAAGAAGACTAATGGTCTTGGGGATGGGATAGTGGTCTTCACGCCCTTCAGCTTCCCAGGCCTGTGGCCTATTTTATCCTTCCCACTGTTTCGTCAGCTGGAGCGGACACCCCTACCCAGCAGTGCCACTCCCACCCCTCCCGTCTGGGCTCCAGTCCCACTGAACTCCTCAGCCCTCCCCAGGCCATTCTTTATTTTTTGTCTCCTGCTTCTTTACTGACTTCCTCTCTCTGTCTTTTGCTCTTCTGTCTGGCTCAAGATATGGGTTTAACCTTTGCTAATTTGACCCACTACCCAATCTCTAACTATGTTTATTTCATTGATTTCTCTTTTCCTCCCTCTCCCTTTTAAATTAAATTTACATTTTTTCCCCAAACTATTTTTACCTAGTAAAATAGGTATGTTCCACAGTACAGTTGAGTACGGCCAGGGGTGAGGGGAACAGCGATTGTGAAATAAAGTAGAAAGAGAGAAATGGTCAGTCCTTGGGAGCCATAGCCTCATGTTGGTGTGTGTATATTCATTTATAGAACCCATATGTATTGAGAACCTACCATATGCCAAGCACTGGGGTAGACCTGGAGGTAAATAGATAATGAAGAAGAAACCCAAAACGTGGACTTTGCCCTTGTGGAATCTTTAGTCTAGTGGGTAAAACAGACATTAATACAAGACATATGAAAAATGTAAAAGTTTCACTTAATAAGAGACTCAAAGACTCAGCTGGAGGTTGAGGATGGGGGGATTAAGCAGAAAACTGAAGATGAGTTTGTGAGGCAAAGAGGAGCTTGGGGTATCACTCAGGTAGAGGGAAGAGTGTGTGCAGAAGTGTGCTCCAGGAAGGAGCTCAGCGTATTCATGGAAATGCAGGAAGCCTGCTGTGACTTCTGCACAAAAGGCCAAGGGTGGGGATAGAGAGAGATGCAGGATATGGCATGATAGAAACTGGGCTGCAGGGAGAGATGTGATGGGGGATGCTGGTGGCTGCCAGACCATGCCAGACCTTGTAGGCCATGTTAAAATGCCCATAAATGATGCTCATTAATAATGTGTTATATAAAGGCATGTCAACAAAAAGTTGATGTTTGCGACGCTGGCATATGTTCAGGTCAGTATGTTAACTATAATAAGAGCTAACCTTTGTTGCACACTTCCTCCATGCTCTGTGCACTTTTAACTGCTCTACATAGATTTTCTCATTTAATCCTTTCAGCTACCTACTGAATACAGTAGGCACATTGAAATTTGTCATTTTGCTCCCTTGGATCCGTGAATTGCAAATATTTTGTGAGAGCTACTCTGTTCCAGTCTAATAGTATAAATGGTTAGTGAACATATCAGTAATTCTAAGCACATTCAAATAGTGTAGCAGCTAGTGACTCAAGTCTGTCCTTCCTTACCACCTCCCCCCCCTCCCCCCCAACACACACTTGTACACAAATGTACAAACTTAGGAAAAGAAACTGAAATCAGAGCTGCAATGGCCACATGGTGGACACAGGATGGCAGCACGGAATTCTCAATTTCTGTAACTTTGAAGGTGCTTTTCCTTAAAAGTCGCTGTGGGATTTAATTTAGAACCCTTTAAAACCCAGAATTATGTTAAGGTAACCATATTAGAAGTTGCATGTTGACTGGCTGAACCCAAACACTGGTGCTTGCTGTCCTATAATGTTTGATTATATTGGATTTTAAATATTGGTTTTTCTTAAAAAACGTTCTTTAAAATGATTACATGTTATCTATTATGCTTAGCATCCAGTGTATTCCATGAAATTACTATATAAATTATATTTGGTTGGTTAGTTAAACTAATTAGCATAAGGTATCCAATTGAAAGTGCAGCCAAAACAATTTAATTCTATTAGGGAAAATTGAGTGAAGAGATGGACCTGCTGCTTCTGTAGCGCAATTTAAATGAGACTGCTTGAGCTGAGTCCTGTTCTACATCAAAAAAAGAACACAAATCCCTTCAGGTTCTATTTCTGGCTTTACCACAGCTTTGCTATTATACCCAGAGCAAGATGGAACCTGTTACTTTTTTTCCATCTGCAAAATGTAGGCAATGCTTTTAGCCTTTTTCACAGGAGTGGCAGGATTAATGTGTGCCACAAATGACCTTGACCTGTTTTGTAACTGCAAATGCATTTTTATTGCCATATTTTCATGAAAAGTGAAAATCTGCTAGTTTTTTTCTGATGAGTTAATATTAGGCTAAAACGCTAAAGTCTGGAATATATACTTTATCAGCTGCTCTTTAAAATTCCAGTTTCCAAATTTAAACAAAGGGAGAACAAGGTAAATTTTTCAAGTGATAATCAAAACAGTAGGAAGGAAGTGAAAGGGTTGCCTTATAAATCGAGATCTATTTGGTTTTTCAAAACTGCACTCTTTATTTTCAATAAGATTAGTAAGAGTATCTGAAATACATCATTAAAGGCTATGTTGAATGAGGCTGACTTGCTGGAAAAAACAATGTCAAAAGTGTCAGGATGTGGTCTCCCTGAGAGTTTACATGTCAGGCCAGTTGAGAAGTTTGTGACAATGTGCTTTAGAGCAATTGTTGATCACTCTGAGATCTTTCCGTCAATCCCAGTACTGATGCCGTGGGCCTGGGACTGATGGTGCAGGATGTAAGAAAACACTCTTAAATGTAGTGGTTTTTCAGGACTCCAGCTAGTTGGAAGATTCTCTTATCCATCCTCAGTGACTGTGCTTACCTCCATCACGGTGGGAGAGTTCAGTCCTAATTTCAGCAATTAGCTCAGACACACATTGGGATTTACTTGCTTTTGAAAGAGAGAATCCAGGTCAGAATCACAGGCATGAAATCAATTACTTCAAAATATTGAGCTCGTTCGTGAGAAATGTTCAGTTCTCCACTCATATAGATGCCAGGTAGAGGTATTTCCGGTAGGATAATGTTGCTGGCTGTCGCTGCTCACTTCCCCACTGTTTCCCAGGGAAGGAGGAGCTTCTTTGGGGAGTTAGAAGAAAGAACTGAGCAGGAAGGTGCAGTCTCTTCCTACCTCCAGGCTTTTGATGCCTGCTAACCTGCCAGTGCTTATGTGAATCCTGTTTTCTGCAACTGAGTCTGTCTAACACACTTGCCTCGTGCCTCTGGCCATGCTGATATTAATGTTTGTTATCTGGACTCTGGGGTGAATTTTACTTAAAGAATGGAGACAATTCCTATTCATGAAATTCTCCCAAATCAACTCTCACCTCATTTCAGTATCTCAGAGGGGAAATCACCCCTTTGCTATGTGCTGGAATTCACATAAAATTGGAAATAACGAATGTTCTATTTTCTGCTCTTGCTCACATTCTCTGTACTCTTCATGGCAGTGGCTGTAGAAGTGCAGAGTGAATGCAAAAAGTGTAACCTTTTTACATTTGACTGTTTCTGCGCTTGGTTTAACCAAGACTGTGAGCTCCGTGAAGCCGTATCCTAGATCTAGCACAGTAGCTGACGTGTATTTGAGAGTCAACACATATTTGTTGACTGAATGAGTTATTAAATTTAGAGTATTTTAATTGAAGATGTTTAAAAACCATTTTGAGGTATTTCATAATGCCCTTAATCAAATTCCAGTAGCATAGTAAGTTTACTTATAGGTGATCTAATCCATCCTGGGGGTCTTACCACACGCATTTTGGGACAGACTCATCATGGAGGCCGTGGGTGTGCAGAACTGAGGAAGCTTTTAAGCAATTATCACACACATGAGGGCACCACCGCATCAGCCTGGAGCTCACGTAAACACATGATACATAAATACAGAATCCCAGCCAAACTCTTCCAGATGGGAAGAGTTAAAAGGATAGAGTCCGTCCTGGACACTGATTACAAGGAAAGTGATCGCAGCTCTCTGGGGCCTGAAGCTCCAGCCTGGGTCCTGTAACAGCTGTCATATTATTGTCTGCCTCGCCTTTAGCCTGTACCTAATGAGCCCCTTTCTACTATGTGTACTTCCTCTGTACTTCCACAGCGCATACTCCAACTGCGCATCCTTGCTCCAGTTGACCTAACTAAGCCCAAGCGTCCTCCCTCTCCTTTCCTAGACGCCTGGGACTCTCATTTTCAGCCACATGTGTGAAAGGTGGTCTGCACTTCCATTTATGCACTTCATTGGACACCAGGCACTAATTAAGCACCCGCTGTGTGTTGGGCATTGGGCTATGTGCCTGGGAGACAAAGATGATCCAAACATGGTCCTGGCTCCCTAAGAGCTCATGGATGATGACCATGCAGTAAGTGATGTGGTCGAGGTAGCACTGAGCACTGTGGGAGACAGAAGCGAAGGCATCAAACCAGCCTGGGAAGCGTGCCAGGGGCAAGGCCTCCATCTTCAGGTCGCCATGTCCCAGACGAGATGGAAGTGGAGGTGGCATTGAGAATTTCTAACAAGCCCCAGACTCGCAAGGCTTTGTGAAGCTGAGCATGTGCTCAGGAGAAGAGGGTTAGTTAGACGTGGACTCTGGAGAGGAAGGAAAGGGAAGTTCTGCAGACATTACAGAAAATGTCAGGTGGTTAGATTTTTGGGCTTAGAGCACTTGCCCCTCTTTGTGATGGAACCTTGTCGGCACCCTTTTAAAATCGGTGTTAGAGAATCAAAGCTAAGAGATAAAAAAGGGTCCATTTACTAAAATTCTCTTATAATACATTAGGAAAAAATTGTGTATGTGTTCTGTAGGTGTTTTTACTACCATTTTAGAGGAGGTTTATGGTTTCCTAACGAGCTTCACTCAGTATAAGAGACATACTTGTATAGACAAGCTGAGGAAAAAGCCTGATTGACATTGATCTCAAAGGTGTTGCTGGGAAGGTTTTTTTGTTTGGTTGTCTTTGAAGTGAAGATCAGAGGTGATTCCTTGTCACCCACAAAACTTTGATGTTTTCCTGCACTACCGCTCACAGCCAGGATAGGATGTAAACACCAACATCCACAGGCAACGTCCACAATACTTTTATGACTAGGAGAGAAATTTGTTAAGGAAAATATAATTTGTTACTGCTCAGTGTGACTTTGAAATGTTCCTGGGCATCCTGGAGGGAAGCCAAGTTCTAGAACAGAAGCATTAACATTCATTGACAAACAAAGTCTATGTAAAAACCAGTTTAACTGACTGCAAATGAATGTATCAAAGTGGCAGAGAAAGGACTTGCTTTAGGGTAGTTGGAGTGGGAGGGAGTTAGGCTGTGAGTCTGGCTGCTGGGTATACTGGCTTAGGACTGAGGTTTTGGAGCTGGACAGGCTCAGCTTTGGATCCTGGCTCTGTTATTTACTAGCTGTGTGCCCTGGAGCAAATTACATCCTCTCAGCTTCCTCATAAACAAAAAGGGGGTAATAATATTGTTGTTAGGATTATGTGCAATTACATAGTTAAGGCGCCTAATATATAAGTACATGCTCAAAATGGTAGATATATTGATCTTGAGCAAAATAATCATTTCACAACATTTTAACTCTGAAGTCTTAAAGAATATAGCCTTAAATATATAGTCTTAAAGAACATAAATAAAAAGAATTTTATTTCTTTCTTTCTTTCTTTATTTATTGCTGAGGAAGATTCACCCTGAGCTAACATCCATGCCAATCTTCCTCTGTTTTTCAGTATGTGGGCTGCCAGCACAGCATGGCCACTAACAGAGCTGTGTAGGTCTGTGCTCCAGCTCTTCCTGGTATGATATTGGCTTATGTCTTTCAATCATTGTCATAGAAGGCTGAAGATGCCAGGCATGACTCATCAAAGGATATGGATGAGACCCGGTAGAGAACCTGAGGACCAATTATTCCCACATACACAACTATGATTATTCCATATATTGTATTAACAAAGGCATCGGTGATTTCTGGTTATTTCTGGCTCTCCCTTACAAATATTATTCTTTCCTTAATTATAACCTGGTATATGTATATATGGGAAGTGAAAGTAGTGCTTATACTTTAATCAACAGAGTGGTCCTCCAATCTCTGAGAATGTCCTACTATGCCTTAAAGCTTCAGGGGAAAAGAATAGGGGATTCAAAAAGGAAGAAATCCCCTGTCTGGCCCACTGGAACAACCACATCCATCTACACATCCATCCATGCATCCATGCATCCATGCATCCATCCATGCATCCATGCATCCATCCATCCATCCACTACTATGTTTTAAGCACTAGGGACACAGTGTTAAGAAGATGACTGCCCTCATAGAGTCTGCAGTCTATGAATCACTAGGGTCGCTGATTTGCCAGCCACTTTGTCCTCACATCAGAGCAAAAGAAGAACATTCTATCCCCAAAGAAGTTCATTCTAGAAAATTTGGAAAATATACAAATAAATTAAGAAAATGATAATCATCTTTAATCTGTTTCCTAGAGCTAATCACCATTAACATTTTGGTGTATTTCTTTAAGGTCTTCTGTGTTTCTGTGTGTGTCTAACAAGAGTGAAGTCATGAAGTACATAATTTTATGTCTTGTTTTATGACTCACTTAACATTACATCATGAGCAGTTTCCTATTCTATTAAGAATTTTTAAAAATATGACTTTTAGTCTTGGTTGGAGTTCCAGCCTATGGGTCTATTAAATTAATTGTTACTGAACATTTAGACCGTTCTTTTTTTCCCTTATTTTTTACTATTATAATTATACTAAAATAACATCTCCAAACGGAAAGTTTTGCCCAAATCTCCTTGGGGTTTTTCCTTAGATTTCTGGAAGTGTAATTTCTGGATCAATGGATATGAAATATCAATGCAAATAATCCATACTCTATAAATAAAATTTGGGGTGAGTTTATTATGAGCTAGGTCTGAGGACTATAGGCTGGGGGGTCTTCTTTCCCCAAGTGGGATGTACAGAGTGGCTATATACCTTCTTGAAACAAGGAGCATACATCACGTATGATGGGAATATCCATTTTACAACAATCACCAGATTGCTTTGCGAGCACAGCAGGTCAGTGGTCACAAGGTGAGCACAGCAGGTCAATATTTAATCCTTAGTTTCCAGGAAGAGATGCTTATCCTTAAGGAAATTTTGATATGGGAGGAAGCTACATCCCCATCTTTAAGGGCGCATTCCTTGTCTTTGGGACATAGTAACTGTTTAAAGCAGATGTACAACGCATGCTCAACAGGCCACATCAGGCTCTTTTGGAGAAACAAGGTCAGGCCAAATTAGTTTTAAACCAAATGGCCTCCTCATATCCTCCGGTATCTCCTATCACTTTACATTTATTTATCAGAAAGTTTTGTAGCTTTTGCCAAATCACTTTCCAGAATAGAAAAGATTCCATCCTAGAACATCTGGAAAATTAAAAAAATAGTTCAGCTCAGTGTTTGCTATCATGGATGTCAATCACAATGCCATATTTGGCTGAACAATTTTATCTCTTTATAGGTCAATGTTGGGACACAGCTTTTTAAATTATAGGTTTGAGAGGGTGACTTTGAGTGAGCCGTACTGAAAACAGAGGACATTTTTGGTATTTTTCTCTTTTTTCCCCTTGTCTTTCAGCTCACTTTCTTTTTTTTTTGAGGAAGACTAGCCCTGAGCTAACATCTACTGCCAATCCTCCTCTTTTTTTTGCTGAGGAAGACTGGCCCTGAGCTAACATCCATGCCCATGTTCCTTTTCCTTATATGTGGGATGCCTACCACAACATGGCTTGCCAAGTAGTGCCATGTCTGCACCCGGGATCTGAACTGGTGAACCCCCGGGCTGCTGAAGTGGACAGTGTGCACCCAACTGCTGTGCCACCAGGCCGGCCCCTCAGCTCACTTTCTTTATTCTCTCTCCTACGCTTTTAATTCACAGCCTTTCAACCTCCCCACCTGCCCTGCCCCCAATACCTCCACCTATGCTGTTAATCTGTGGTAACAACCTGGTATGGATCTCTCCAAGTTTTTCCTCATGCTCATGTAATCAGATACACATTTATGTGCACACACATGTAAACAGACACACACAATCTTATTATTTTACAGAAATGATATCTCATTATACTTACTTCCACATAAAAGAAAGAAAAAAGAAAGTTGTGCTCTTGGTGGTGAGTTCAGCAGTGGTCGTTGCTGGAAGTCGAGCGCAGAGATACTGCTCCAGCCTTTCAATAATAGGTGCTTTTTAAGCACCTAACAGCTGGTATTAAATACCTTTCTAATTAAAACAGCTAGAGTGATAGCTCTTTCCTTCACCTGAATTCTGACCTTATTCAAGTGCCCTCCCTCCAAATTTCGTCATTAATATATGTCATTGCTCTTAAAACTTCTTGCAAGTCTGATGGATATAAAGTGATATCTTGGTATTGTTTAATTTTTTATATGAGTCTAAGCATATTTTCTTTTTTTTTATCTTTGCTGTTTGTGTGAATTGCTTATTCATATCCTTTGCCATTTTCCTTTTGGGTTGTTTACCTTTATCTTATCCATCTTAAGAGCTCTTAATGTATTTTAAATTGTCTTTGTCTATCATTCATAATTCCAACCTTCAACCCCCAAATGTATTGTTTTTTAATAGTAAATAATTCCTAACCCCTTCTAAGTACTTTCCTGATTACAGGGGCAGGAAAGAGAAAAACCATATTTCTCAGATTCTCTTGCAGCTAGGAATCTGATGTGAATTAGCTTGTACATTGGTATGCACTCATGCAAGATCTGGAAGCCAGAAGTGAGATGAAAGCCGTTTTCTTTGGCTATTTTGCTGGAAAGGAAGTTTGAAGAAACATGAATATTTATGACCTGACTTTGCATTCCAGTGTTTGATCACCAGCTTCCTGATTGTGAGAGCTGGGGAGGCAGTAATGGTAGCAGCAATAATTTTCTGATGTCTAGATTGCAATTTTGTTGACGTACCCTTGAAATTGGTCATATAGTGGCAGCCACCTGACTTCTGGTCCTCTGGCCCTCCTAATACTTTTTGTAAACACCTAATTCCCTGTATTAAATCCTTCTCTTCTTAAATACCTAGGGCGGTTCATGTTTCCTGCACTGTATCCTGACTGATAGACTTTATTTAAGATATCTTTGATAGTTTAAAATTTTTATATAGCAATATGTGTACCATTTTTATTTTATAGCTTATGAGACTGTTGACTTGGTTAAGAAACATCCATGACCCTAGATTATACACAGAGTCTCCTAGATTGTTTTTTAAGGTATTCGTGATTTAATTTTCTATGTTTAAGTTTTTTACCGTATAAGTTTCAGATCAAATTTTACTTTTTTAGGTGGTGTTATGAATTGTGTCCACCCCAAATTCGTATATTGAAGCCCTAATCCCCAATGTGACTGTATTTGGAAATAGGGCCTTTAAAGAGGTAATTAAGGTTAAGTGAAGTCACAAGTGTGGGTCCCAAACCAACATGACTTGCATCTTTGTGAGAAGAGGAAGAAATTCCTGGGATCTGTGTGCACAGAGAAAAGGCCGTGTTGAGGACACCTGCAGGCCAGGGAGAGAAGCCTCTGGAGAAATCAACCCCGCTGACAGCTTGGTCTTGGAATTCCAGCCTGCAGAACTGGGAGAAAACATTTCTGTTGTTTAAGCCACCTGGTCTGTGATATTCTGTTGTGGCAGCCCTAGCAAACTGATACAGGTGGACAGGTGATTGTATCAGTATTATTTATTACTTAATCACTTTTCTTTCATTGAATTGAAATACCGCTTTATCATATATAAATGTCTATATGTATAGGGACCAATTTATGGATTCTCTGGTTTATTTTTCTGTTTGTTTATTGCTATGTCTATACCACACTGCTTAGATTATATTGGTTTTATGGTAAGTTTTGCTATTGGGTAAGACTAATCCCCCCTCTCTGTTCTTCTTTCTTCCCCCACTCCCATGGGTTACTCCTTGAAAAGGGTCATTTTCTCAGAGTGACACACGTACACAGCTTGACAAACCAAATAGTACGATAAAGCTTGTAACTAAAAAAGGAGCCCCCATTCTACTCTCAGTGGGATGCTGGGAAAGGTTTAACAACTGGCTCTCTGATTTGTGGAGTTTTCTGTTTCAATGGTATAACTACTCCCAGCATAACTGATTTCAAGGGCCCGTTGTGATGTCGCTGAACAGAGAATTGGGAAGTAATGTGCCCAACTGGCTTTTCAACCTAGAACAAATCAGCTCTAGCACACCACTGTCCATTCCTGAGTTCTTCTTCTGGGATACTTTTTAGCTGTTTTTCTGGTACTTACATCCATATCTTTAAAGATTTTATTTTTCCTTTTTCTCCCAAAGCCCCCCGGTACATAGTTGTGTATTTTTAGTTGTGGGTCCTTCTAGTTGTGGGATGTGGGATGCCGCCTCAGTGTGGCTTGATGAGCGGTGCCATGTCTGCACCCAGGATCCGAACTGGTGAAACCCTGGGCCACCGAAGCGGAGTGCGTGAGCTTAACCACTCAGCCACGGGGCCAGCCCCAACATCCATATCTTTAAGTAGTATGCTTACCTGTCTGTTTCCTGGTGTGTAAAGTTTAGGCATTATCTGTTGATATGCTATGATGGAGGATAGGATGTCATCAAATACCTTTTCTATCCCCATGCTCTCACTTCCTCTCCCAGTAAAGTTCTATCACAATTTTTATTTAAATGAATATTCAGTGTTTATTTTATTATAATCACCTATTTATGTACCCAATTACATACCTAATTATAATGTGATTATTATGATTATATCCTACTTGATGAGCTAAGTAATTTACCATGATAAAATTTCCCTTATTATACATTTTTCTAAACTTTTTTCTGATGGCTAAGTTTTCTAATGCTCTATCCTGTTTCTCCCAAATTCTCCAAGAGTAAAACCTGTGGTAAAGCTGGGACCCCTTAAAGGATGAAATTCAGTGAAAATGTAGACTAATCTGCTTGAGGCTGGCATTTGAGGCTATGAGGAAAACTATTTGTTTCTATCACTATTCTGGGTAGAAAAAATAAAAAATTATTTCACATGAAAATTTACATACCCCCCAATACGTGGCTGTGGATGTAAATTTGTATTACCAGTGCAGTAAGGGAAAACCAGAAGCTCAGAACTTATATTATGCTGGTCACAATTTGCAAATGCCTCCTGGCATGTGGCCAAGACAATTGCAAAGCCACTCTAGAGGAAAGCATGGGACCATCCAATTCCGGCCACTCAGGGTTCCCTGAAGATCAAGTGCAAACAAATGGAGGCTCACAATGAAACATTATCCAGCACGAGAAATGACTCATCATGAATGAAAGTCAGCAAAAATGCTCGCAAAACATTAGGTTCCTCAGGATGAAAGATATTGGAATTATTATCAACAGAAAATAAACTATGCATAAATGTTTAAAGAAATAAAAGATTTGAGTAAAAAATTGAGAAAGGAACAGAAAACTTAAAAAATTAAAATTAAAAATGTATATATATGTTCTAAGGAAAGAATTTGCAATGAAGGTTTAGGGAAATCTTTGTGGTGGAGGTGATTTTTGAACTGGGAATTATAGAAAATGTGTCCAATTTCCTTATTACTTTTAATTCCCCTTAATTACCAAATGCTTCCTGAAATCTTTTCTCTCTCACTTTCAGGAACGCTTCCTACGGTGATGAGGAGAAAAGAGCCTCCCTGTGGTATTCGGAGTCCTGTACGGGCATGGCTGTCTTTGGGAGTTTCTTCTTTGTCTGTTGAGGTTTTCATTCAGTACTCTACTGTTTTAACCATTATAGGTTCATGGGCCATCTTCACATCTCAAAGAGTGATTCTCTCATCTATCCCAGAGTTGTCTTGGCTCTTCTTAAACATTTATTCTTTCATATTAGTATTAGAATCAGCTTGTCAAATTCCCTAGAAAATCTTGTTAGGAATTGGGTTGGGATGGCACTGAATGTATATGAGGAGAACTGAAATCTGTGGAACAATTTTATAACTGATGATTTGATAAAAGTTGTCTATGAAAACCATTTGAGCATGGTGCCTTTTGGGAGGAGGGAGAAGTTTAAAAAATTTCTTTTTTATTAGTTCTGGTAGATTAAAAAAAATTTCTTTTTTGCTGTCTAGGATCTGAGCTACATTCTTGTTTGGGGAATTCCCTATTGTATCAGTCTTGGCCAAAGGCAGGACCTGTCTTCCATTATAACATTTGAAATGATCAAACATACACTTTCTTCTGCCCTCTAGCATCTAGAATATGGGAATATGCTGTAGGCTCAGCTAATGGGACCTACCTGCCTAGGATCTTAAGTCTGGAGCAAATCAGCAAAGAATCAAGGACATTCTAGAGAGTTTTTTTTTTCTTTTTCCTTTTTTTAAAGATTGGCACCTGAGCTAACAACTGTTGCCAGTCTGTTTTTTTTTGTGCTTTTTCTCCCCAAATCCCCCCAGTACATAGTTGTATATTTTTAGTTATGGGTCCTAGTTGTGGCATGTGGGATGCCGCCTCAGCGTGGCCTGACGAGTGGTGCCATGTCCTCGCCCAGGATCGGAACTCATGAAACCCTGGGCCGCGGCAGCAGTCCATGAGAACTTAAGCACTCGGCCATGGGGCCAGCCCCCTATATGTGCTTAATGTTCAGTTTATCAATATGAGCCCCAACTGACATCCAGGTTATGCTTGGATAACCAACTCCTTTGTTTGCTTGGGTCATAGACCCTTATCTGTGACTGGTTGAGTTTATTCTCCTTCTCACCCAGGGGGAACTTCCCAGGATTTTCTCTGGGGGGGAGAGGGAAACACCTTTAAGGAGCTGAGAGTAGACTGACTTCTCTTTACTTGGGTAACACTTTTCATTCTTAACTTGAGCTGGATTTTCCAGGGCTCTAGAATTCTAAATACCATAGTTGAGTATTGTTGAGTAATTCTTGAAATATAGTTTATCAGTGTCATGAGACTATTCAGAATTTATATTTCATTGTTTCTTTATTTATGTATATGTGACATTGATTCCTAATTATCCCCAATATCATTGTCTTCTTTTTCCTTAATAATAAAGTTTCCAGTGGTTTAGCTGCACACACAGTCCAGAATAAAGACCACATTTCCAAGCCTCCTTTGCAGCTTGGTGTGTCCATGTGACAAAGGAATTTAAGTGGAAGTTGTATGTTGTCCTTCTAAAAAAAGTCTTTAAAAGGAGAGCACATCTTTCTTTAGGTCTTCCTATCTTTCTGTTGGTTGATGTGTAGACACAACGATTGGAGCCAAGCAGACAACCTGGACCCTGGAGGACAGAGACTCATGTTGAGGATGGTGGATAAATGGGATAGAAGTCTGGATCCTTAATGATTGTAGAGCCACCCTATTATCCTGGCCTGCTTCCCACTGACATCTTGCATATGTAAGAAGAGAAATACACTTCTGTCTTTTAAGCCACTGTTATTTGGGTCTTCTGTCACATGCAGCCAAAGCTAGTCCAAAATGATATACGTACCAGGCAGGCAACCATATATTGTTTGACATGCCAAAAAATCACACTTTAATTTTGTTTATTATGTACATTCTTGAGTCGTTGAAAACCCCAAAGAACATGGCATCATAGTTGTAGATTATGTAGACTATAATTTATAGTCCATAATTGTAGACTATAATTGGATAACTACTTAAGAGTATAAGCTGCAAAGAAGCCAAGGTCATTATTGCCAAAACAACAGGAGAGTCCATTCTCCTAATAGAAACTTGATTTTGTTCAGGTATCTACCTTCCCCTTTCTGACACAGCCCAGGGGACGCTGGCCCCACCCCAGCTCTAGGGAAGGCCTCGTGATCTAAGTGTTATCCCGTATTTCTCCTCAGAATTTGGTTCAGGAATGGCTCTACGACCCATGTTGGGCTACTCAGACACTAGAAGCAGTTCAAGAGCTTCTGGGGGAAGTTCTTTCTCATTCGCTTGGAGACCTTCTGAAAGCTCCTCTTTCCCACTTGCCCTGGTGGTTGCTGTTCACATCCAAGGCTGGCACTGCTGTAGCCATCTGGCTATCAGCTTGAAGAGGAAGCCAACACAGAGGAAGGCACAGCCAGTTACATCACAAGCACATGGAATCACAGCCGTTGGATTCAGATGATCCTGAAGTGGGTTCAACCTCTGGACTTCTAGTGAAGTGAGCCAGTCAATCTCCCTGTTATTTAAGGAAGATTGAATTGGATTTTCTATGACTTGCAATTAAAAGCATTTTGAGCTGATATAGACACATGGTGGAAATAAGCCCTCAACTGGGAGCAGAATACTTGGTTCTCCCTCCAGCCCACCACCAATTGGCTGTGTGACCTTAAGCAAGTCACTTCACTTCTCTGGGACTTACCTTCCTCATCTGAAAAAGTGAAGCTTTTGGACAAGATCAGTGGTCCTCAACCATGGGTGGTTCTGCTCCCGTACGAGATGTTTGGAAAAATGTGGGACGTTTCTCATTACCACAATAACTGTGGAAACACTACTGACATTTACCAGGCAGAGGACAGGGATGCAAACTGTCTACAATGCTTGGGATGATCCCATGCAATGAAAACTTGTCTCACCCCAAATCACTAGATATTCCTCTTATCTCTAACTGCTCTTACGACTCTTGGGTCACTTATTCAACTTATCTTAATTTCTGCTTTCTCACTCTTTACAATCTGCTGGCCTCCATTCGGCTGCCTAGATAGAGCCTTTATATCAGTGATTCTCAGTTTTGTTCCCAAGGACAATATGCACCAGGATCACCTTAGGGAATTGCTAAAAATTCAGATTCATGGGTCCCACCTGAGACCTGAGTCAGCATCAAGATCCCCAGGTGACACGCTGTAGTCTATAATGTGCTTTACCTGTTTGTGCATCTTCCTAGGCCATAAAATACCAACAGTATAAAAGTTTTCTCATAAAACTTTTATAAATCATAGATACAGGGAACAGATTGGTGTTGTCAGCAGCAGGGGGTGGCAGGGTGGGCGAAATGGGTGAAAGTGATCAAAAGGTATAAACTTCCGGTTATAAGATGAATAAGTCCTGGGGATGTAATACACAGCACGGTGATTATAGTTAATAACACTGTATTATATATTTGAAAGTTGTTAAAAGAGTAGATCTTAAAAGTTCTCATCACAAGAAAAAGAATTGTAACTATGTGGTGTTGGATGTTAACTAGACTTATTGTGGTGATCATTTCATAATATATACATACATCGAATTACTATGTTGTGTACCTGAAACTAATACAATGTTATATGTCAATTATATCTCAATAAAAAAAACCTTATAAGTCTTATAAAATCATTTATAAGATTTTAAAAATAAGGTCATCACCCATTTTGGTATTTGAGTTCTTTACATAAATTATTTCTCTAACCCTCACAGAAACCTAATAAAATAAGTAACTATCTTCATTTATAGATTAAAAAAATTGAAGTTCCTATCCCCATTTTACAGGTTAAGGAAAGAGCTGCCTTATCTTTATAAGCTAGCAAATGTAGGGGTGGGAGTTGAGCCCAGATTTGCTTCACCCCAAAACCTGAACCCACTCCATCATACTACACAGTCTCATGCTGTTCTCTGTCTTTGTGATATTGGCTCCAAGTAAACACACCAGAAAACTCCCCTGGCTGCTACTTGCAACTGTTCACACAAATGATGTACATCTAAAATACATGTGGCAGATGTGTGATTTAATATACTATTAATGAAAAAAAACCCAGGTTATAAAACAGTATGTACAAAATGACTGCAGGGAGGCATTACAGAATATATATATATAGTTGCCAATCTTCCTCCTTTCCCCGCCCCCAAATCCCCAGTACATAGTTGCATATTCTAGATGTAAGTTCTTCTAGTTCTTCTGTGAGAGCCATGGCCACAGCATGGCTACTGACAGAAGAGTGGTGTGGTTCTGTGCCCAGAACCGAACCCGGGCTGCCGAAGCAGAGCACGCTGAACTTTAACAGTTAGGCCATCAGGGCTGACTCAGAATATATTTTTCAAAGTAACTACATTGCACAAGTGTGGCAGAGATGGCTGCTAACACTCATGTTTCCCCTTCCTTAGCTTAGAGTTTTCACTTAGACACGGCTGCCCAATGAGGAACTACCTTTCCCAGCCTCCTTTGTATCCAGATCAGGACACACGGCTAATTCTCACCAGTGGGATGTGGACAGAAGTGATGTGTCATTTCTGGCTTTGGGCTTTTAAGAAATGGGGTGTGCCTTTTTAATACTCCCCTCTACCATCCGTTAGCCAGGTGCAGAAGACTCCAAGGAAACAGAGGCTATTGGACCCACAACTTGGAAGGAGCCCGGGTCCCTGAATGATCATGAGGAGGGACGGCCCTGGCTGAGCAAGACACCTACACTGAACTATTACACGAGCAGGAAATAAACTTCTGTTGTGCTATGGCATGGAAATTTGGGTTTTATTTGTTATAGCATCCTGCCTAATTCAAGAAATAGTGTTACTGTATCTAATACAAGTTACACAAACCAATAAATAATTATAATTTTTATTTTCTTCTTTTTATACATGTGTGATTTAAAAAAAACGACATTTGGTGGGATTCAAAGTTCTAGTTATAGCAACGAGCATCCTCACTGCTTTTGACCTCTCAAAATTCGTATCATATAAAGGATATTGTAGAATCCGTGGAGGAAGGAGTAAAAAGCTGGTAGATTGACTAGCTACCTCTGAACATTTCCTTTCATATGGAATCTGATCATATATAGAAAGTCATCCAAACAGCCTTGAATTAGTAGTACACCAGAAGGACAAAGAGGTATCAAAGATTCGGGAACCACCTACCAAAAAGTTTGCTTTTCCTTGAGTTGAGTGGCATTTTATACACAATAACTATGAATAAACACGGGACAACAGGTTGCAAAGTGCTTTTAAGGGCATAAAAAAGAATGGACAAGAGATTTGCCTATCTCTTATCATGATACCTTGAATAAATAAAGGAGGCTGAATTTAATAGCTAGTTGACTAGAAGAATCACAGGTTTTTTGAAAAGCTGAGTGGTGCCTTGTGTTTAATTTCCAGTCAGTTATGCTGCAGTGTCTTAGCCAATGACTCATAATGATTTGCAGTAACATAATCCAAAGGTAATAAAAAGCAAAACTGATTTAACCATGAGGCTTGATAAGAACCCTGCAGAGTACATGTCAGCCACAATGTGGAAGGGTTTTAATAGGTTTAAGATTTCATCAGACATCAAAAAGAAGATGAGAGAAAGGTTTATAATTGCTTGAGGTAACAGAAGAAATCAAAATAGCTAATTGCTGACAATGAGAATTAAATCCCCAAATGAAAATTGGGTGATAGAGTTTAGCTCTAAAATATAAGGGAATATTTATTTTCATGGACAATATCGAGGTAAAATGGCAATGGCATTTTGCTTCTCAGGGTTCCATGATTACCGTATTCTTTCCCTTAGCGAGGGTTTCCATGCAGATGGAAAGAGACCTTTGTGGACAGAGGCTTGATTTCAAATAGATTATTCACACTGCCTGGCTATGTCTCCACGAAACCAAAAGATCTAGATAAGGAGTATAAAGCTTTAAAAATGCCAAATGATGCCAAGGTTTCTGATGTTTCCAAATTATCCAAGTGTTTGTACAGATGCTTCCAAATATGTTGATGTAGATGTTGGCTGTTTAGTTGACAAAACTCAGATAAGTACTGGGACTTTTTATTTTTAGGACAACTATTTTTAGCATGAGTTTCTATTAATGTTTAATGATGGATGGTAGAGTAACTGCTTCAAATTCCTGCCCCCAGGAGGAGCCCACATATTCAGGGAAGCCTTTGGAAAGATGCTTCTCACTCCAGCTTCTAAGGCCACTGTTACTCGTGTCACTTGAAATCCAATAAGTCCTCTAAAAATTCCTGAGTTATTCCAAAGAGGAAGACATATCAAGGATATGGAGAACCTGATAAAATGACTTCATGGGCAGCCTAGTGTTCAATAAGTACATGAGAAAATGTGGCAATTGGAAGAGAATGTTCACAGACCCATTTTACCACGTCTGCCGCCTACCAGCACCCAAAGCCATATCTTCATATTGGTGAATTTCCTATGCTCTTGTCTAAAACCAACTCTTCCGCTTTGCACTAGAGCCCATCCGCTCTTGCCTACTCAAGATGTTCCAACAGTTCTCCTCTCTCCTACATCAGGTTTTCTCTCTCTTCAGGACCCTTCCCATAAGCATACACACATGCCATTTGTTTCTCCCATTATTTACCACACACACACACACACACACACACACTGCATGTTCTTTTGACTATACATCCTTAGCTAGCTACTGCCACATTTATTTTAGAGCAAAAATCCTCAAAGATTTGCTGGTACTCACTGCCTCCAAGTCTTCTCCCATTTTTTCTTAAACCTGCTCTGATGAGGCGTGTGTTCTGCCCAGTCCCTCAAATCTGCTCTCATCAGGCGAGGCTGCTGAGTCTATATAAATCCATCAGTTCTCAGGCCTCTTCTCAACCTGACTTCTTAGCTGCATTTGGCACGTTGGCTCACTCCCTCATCTTTGATCCTCTTTCTTCTTCACTTGGCTTCTAGGACGTCAGCCTCGCCTAGTTTTTTGCCTATCTCGGTGCTTGCTTCTTCTCAGTCTTCTTTGCTATTTCTCCCTCTTCCTCCAATCTTTTCAAGTTGGAATACCCACAGGTTCAGTCACTGACCTTTTTCTGTAAATGCATTTTCTTGGAGATTTTATTTAATCTCGTAGCTTTGAAAAAATACTGTGCTTATTCCAATGACTACTGAATTTACATCTTCATTCTCGTCCTCTCTCCTGAATTCCAGAAGTTCATCCATCCAACTGGCTTCTCAATATCTCCACCGGATGTCTCATAGACTCCTCAAACTTGCCACTTTCCAAACTCAACCATCTCAGTTAAAGGCAACTCCCTCCTTTCAGGCGCTCACATCAAAAGCCAGGGAATAAATCCTTGACTGTTATTCCTCTCATACCCCACATCTGATTCACAAACCACAGGAAATACTCCTGGTGCTACCTTCAAAACATGACCAGAATCTGACCATTTTGGGCCCCCTTCACTGCTTCCACCCTGGTCAGAGTCACCATTGCCTCTCACTGCAGAGGCCCCTTACCACGCTCCCTATTTCTACTCTTGACCCTTATGGTCTATTCTCAACACAGCAGCCAGGGTGATTTTTACAAAATGTAAGCCACATCTGTTCCTCCCCTGCTCAGAACCCTGCCATAGCTCCTCACCCCATGCCCCACACAATCTGCTCCCTGACCCTCTGCAAGGCCCTCGAGATCTGCGCCTGTCACCTCTCTGATGTCACCCCCGCTCTCCCCTCATGCCCTTGGCTCCAGCCATGCTGCCCTGCTGCTTCCTCTGAGGCTCCAGGCCCGCTCCTGCTTACAGCCATTATCTGCTTGCTAACTCTCTCACCCCCTCAAGTCTTTGCTCAGCTCTCACCTTCTCACTGGCACCTATTCTGATTACCCTTCTTAAAATTCCAAACTGAGCCTCTCGAATTCCTGAAAATCCTTACTCTGCTCTGCTTTTTCTTTTTCCGTAGCACACTCATCACCTTCTAATATACTGGACAACTACTTGTATTACATGTCTATTATTTTTTGTCTGTCTCCTCCCTCCCCCCGCTATAATATGAGGTCCATGGGGACAAGATCTTCATCTGTTTGTTCCCTGGTGCACCCCAAGTGCCAAGAACAGAGCCTGGCACATGGAGGGCTCTCAATAAATATTTGTAGAGCAGCTTGAATGAATGAGTAGAAGAATCTGGTTGTAGGAGTCTCCTGATGGTGATGTGCTGTTAGCAGCCCTAAGCACTTTATCTCACTTAATCCTCAAAACAGCCAAATGACAGACAGAAGTTTATTCCCCCCATTTTTCAGATGAGAAGTCTGAGCCACAGAACATTTCTGTAATTTGCCCAAGATCACCTGACTGGAGGGTGGCAGAGCCAAGATTTGAATCCAGAGTCTGCATGTTCAACTTCCCCACTATTCTTATACATTCCTGGAGTGAGTATTCTTTGGTACAGCTGTTCTAAGGCGAATTCAGCCTCCTATATGAACAGCTTTACAAATGTTCATACCC